ACACACACACACACACACACACACACACACACACACACACACACATACACATACACACACAAAGGTGACTGATTACTTCATTACTGTGTACAGTCTCATACTCCTCTCTCCATCTCAACACATCAACACTGCTGTTGATCTTATCAGTCTTCAGATTTTTCAGCATTAGACATTGTTTCATATTTCCTTATGGGAAGGGTGAAGGATGAAGGATGGTAAACTAAAGGTGAGCGAATATGAAGTGAACTATAATCAATCAATACCTTATACACTACTGTTCAAAAGTTTGGGGTCAGTAAGATTTTCTTGTTTTTGAAAGAAGTCTCAGCAGGGCTGCATTTATTTGATCAAAAATACAGAACCGTCATATACACACACACACACACACACACACACACACACACACACAGCCTGTCAATGTATACTGTAATTATTCTCATAATGGCCAAATCACTGTGGTACATGACACACTACTAGAATCTACTTTGCTCTCTTAGAATCTAGAAATATATTGGTTAGAATAGAATCTACTTTATTCTATTCTCTTATATTCATTGACTATTTACAAACTTTTTAGTTTGATAGTCATAGTTCAGAGTCATCATGGACTCTTCACAGGCTGTGATATATTTTCAGAGTTATTAAAGGGGTCATATGATATGATTCCTTCTAAGGTGTGCTTTTTAAAGTGGTCAAAATTAAAAAAAAATTTACCTGGTGGATGATACAACAGTAAAGTCTTGCATTGAAAGAGGGACCCGAGCCTAGAGAGCAGAATATGGGTGAGCCTTTTTGCCAGTAAGCAACCACCTAACAACTATCCAAAACACCTTAGCAACTGCACAGCAGCACGCTGGCAACCAGCCACAACACCCTGGAACTGTGGCTCACAACCAGGGACCGAGGTCATGAAATTAATAATATCCTAAGTCATTATATATACACAACCATTCAAAAGTTTGAGATGAGTTATGATTTGTAATGTTTTTTAAAGAATACTATATTTATTAGATGAAAAATACAGTAAAAACAGTAATATTGTGAAATATTATTACGATTTAAAATAATAGTTTTCTATTTTAATATATTTTAAAAAGTAATTTAATCCAGTGTTGACAGCAGCCATGTCTCCAGTCTTTATTGTCACATGGTCCTTCAGAAATCAGTCTAATAAGCTGATTCACTGCCCAAGTAACATTTCTTATTACTATTAATGTTGAAAACGTTTAATATTTGCTTAATATTTTTGTGGAAACTGTGATACATTTTTTTCAGGACTCTCTGATGAAAAGAAAGTTCACAACATTTATTTGAAATATAAATCTTTTGTAACATTATAAACATATTCACTGTCACTTTTGATCGATTATATGCTTCTTTGCTGAATAAAAGTACTAATAAAGAAAAATAAAAAAACTTTTTTGAATGGCATTATGGCAAATGCTGAGCTAATGATTGGTCATTCCCGGAAAGGTTACCTAGCAGCATCAGCATGACGTTAATAATATTCATAAACATGTCCTCACAGAAAGTCCATTATGTTCCAGAGATGACAAATAGTGAAACTAGCTAATATATTTTATAAGAAATCATCATTGTCTGCAAGCGACAAAGCTGAATTTTCAGCAGCCATTACTCCAGTCTTTAATGTCACATGATCCTTCAGCAATCATTCTAATATGCTGAATTGCTGCTCAAGAAATATTTCTTATTATGATAAATTTTTGGTGGAAACTGATTTTTTCATAAATAGAAAGTTCAGACGAAACAGCATTTTTTGAAAGATATTTTTTTTTCTGATCAATTTAATGCATCCTTAGAAATGCTTAATAAAAATGATTAATTTCTTTAAAAGGGTTTAAACTGTATTGTATGTATTTGTCTTAACAAAATGACAAAACATATAGCATTTATTTTAAACAAATAAAGCACAAACATGTTTTAAGCAGAACATTTCTTAGCTTATATATACTGTATATATATATATATATATATATAAAAATGTATATACTGTATACAAATATATTGTTATATTGTTTACAATTAAGCCAAAAAATATTAAACACTGTCAAACTGTAAAAATTACTCAGAAAAGTGAGGTTAGTTCTGGGAACATCTAATCATTTGAATTTCTAACGCAATGACAAAGATTCCCAAAAGTTTCCAAATATTTTGAGGTTCTTGCATATTATATATCTAATATTTAGTAAATTATTTAGAATGAATAAAACAGTAAAATGTCAAATATGGATTTTCACCACCACATAATGCAATGCAACTCATTAAAATATTTAAAGTTCCCATTAAATCAAATTTAAAGTTTTTTGGGTGTTAGTATCAATATGTTAGTCTTAAGGTTATCGATAAGGCAGTGTGCTCCAAAACAGTGACAAAATTCGCATTTAGAAGATATAAGCATTCAAAGCTTGCAGTTCGTCACTTCCGCCAAAACGGCGCAACAATTTTTTTGACGTCACATCATACTTCAGCTTCTCATCAAACTTTCTGTCCAATCAAATGCTCTCTAGAATCCGAA